CTTCCCTTGATCTAGATACTATATTTCTATTGATGCAAACATGCAAAAATGGTAGGAGATTAATTGTCAAGTTTGCCTTGGTTAGCCTGGGTACCATCACCACAGAGGACACACACAGGATAAGAAATATCCACAAAGGTTGGGGGAAAGATCATCATGAGGTAACAAGGACACATAGAGGCTAGTTCAGTTCACCCATCAGCCAGACTACTACATGATACTGGCTACAAAAAGAGCCCGGAAAAGGATTCTTTGATATACATTTTTTAAACTCCAGTTCCCAGAAGCTCCCAACCTGGCTTAACCTGGCTAATTTAAACCCTCAGACTAAAAAAATGTTGAGACTTGTACTCCAAACAAGTAATTTTTCCAAGCACTGCATACACTGGATCTAGAGCATAAATAAGCAAGATACAAAGTCATTTGGTCTTACATCAGATAGTGCCACAGGTCCTGGGAATTCTGGCTGCATTGAACATAAGCAAGCTTCTCCCATGCTCAATGCATCAGAACTGTAAGGAACAGCAAAACCCAAGACACATAGGAAACAGGCTTGTTGTCAGTTGAGACCAGTGTGGTGTATTGGTTTGAGCAGAGATCAGGGTTTGATTCCACACTCGAATATAAAAACTCACTGGGTAACCTTGGCCAAATCACACTCTCTTGGAAAACATGTACTCTGCCTCACTGCACCTCAATGAAGGATCTCAGACACATTCTACAAATGCAAAAATTGCTACAGAAGAACAGCCAACTTTACACATGCAGCAAATTGGAGTAGGGCTGAGAAAAGAGGATTTTGGCTCTTACACTTCAAACCCTTCTGCTGATCCAACCTCCTGCCCTTCAAAACCCCCAGACTTCATTCACCTCCAAGAGACTATAGGGACCCCAAGAAGAATCTGACAATATCCTTCTGATCTCCAGAACCCACTCCTTTGGCCAGAGAAGGAAAAAAACAGCCCAGGAATCCTGATTCTCAAACCTCCTATGGTTCTTGCCTGCCCACATTCTCTTCCTCTTCATTGAAACCCCTTGACCCTTCCCTCCAAACCCCAAACCGCACAGCCTTCAAGCCTAACCACCACCCCAAGGACCCAGGTACTTGCGGCCCCCATTTGCCAGGCAGATTTATTTCTCATAAGCATTGGCACAAACAGCAAGGCTGCTATCTGCCAGGCCCCAGGCCCCTATAAATATGCATCAGGTCGCATTTATGGAGACGGATGGCTCGGGAGTCTGTCCTGTGGTTGAGGGGAAAGGAAGAGTTGGGGAAGGGTGTGGCCACATGATTAATCACTGCCCACTCTGTTTAGGGGTATTCATCATGGCCCACTGTCAGGTAAATCACTGGAAAAACACCTCTCTAATAATTAATGGGAAGTGACGGATGGATAGCCCCTGGGCCCATTAATCTGGACCATCAGCAGCAGACCAAGATTATGAATGTCAGGATGCATAAACTGTATACCAATCAATAGAGCCAGGAATTCATCCAAGGTTCTCATTTCCGAGGCACCTCCGGTGCATTAGGCTGTGTTTGCCTTCCCCACCTTGCTCCTCTCCTCTTCATCTGATTTGAAGTGAAAACAGATCCGTCCCCAGCAAGCAGAGAGCATCAGGGGCCACAGAGTTTGGAGGGCAGGACTGCTGCAAAGGAACCCACACAGAAGCCTCGCACACATATAGTGTGAAAACAGAGTGTGCAGGGCCACAGTGTCAGGAGGGCACGATTGCTGCAAAGGAACCCACACAGAAGCTTCACACATATATAGTGCAAAAGGTCAATGTTCCTAAACAAAAAATGGACAGGGCAACCAACTCTTTCAGGATGAATATTTAAGATGTACTTCAGCCTGCTTCAATCTGTCATAAAAGCAGAGGAATGCGGAACTTGCTGCCTCCAGATATTGCTGAATTACAGCTGCTATCTTGCCTCACTGTTTGCTATGCTGGTTAGGTTGCTGCAGCTCAAGATCGGGAGGGCTGCACCTTCCTTAAATCTGCCCCTAATGGGTTAAAAAGAGATAGGCTTTAAATCGCATATAGCCTGGATTGCACTAGTATCTAGAAGGGACTTGATCCCTATATCAAAGCTAAGGCTCCAGTAAGATTTCTCTCATGCCATGATTGTTAGAATATCGATGTGCACCCTGTTCCATGAAACTGGAAATCTGGGACTCTCTTCCTTC